CAGTCTGGGGCAAAAGCATACATATTAATACTTGATTTGGTTGTAAAGCCCTGGACAGTAGGAATGAAGGAGAATGAAAAGTGAGACGAGGAAGGGGAAAGAGCAAATACAGGGGACTTTGTTACCCAGAGCCAGATACAGTTTCACAAATACAAATGTCCTGATTGCTCAGTCATGTGGAATTTGCATAATCTGTTGCACACTGGAACAAGTGTGAAGAGGAGAGTTTATCTAACATCTTTCCCATCCCGTATTTCCACTGGTCAACCTCTGCTCTATAATCGTAACCTTCCCGCACTTCTGTGTTGAGTGATCTGCTATCTCCAGGCAGCTGCTGGAGAAGGTCAGGCCAGGTCAGTTTCTCCTGGTTAGCTGAAACCATCCTTAGCAGTGACAGCAGCAGCAGTGACCTGACTCTGAGAGTGTGGGAAAGGTGTGGCCTTTACTAAGTCCACTCAAGTGAGCAAGTAGGGTGAGTGGCCAATGCTATGCTCAGTAACAGGGGAAGTGGGCGGCTAAGGACATCTGGGATGAGGCATGAAGTGAGTCTGGTGTAAATTGTTAGGCTATTATCAACTGGCCATGTAAGCTACCGTGTTTTAAATCTGGTATTCTTGAAATGAAAAGAGCAAGATAAATGCTGCCTGCCAACAATTTCTGTTATCCCAGCACATTTCATCTGGGTCATAAGACTGAGGTAAAGGCCTGATTCTGTCCTTTAAGGTCTCACATTGTCGTAATTTAAGGAATTTCATTTGGGAGGCCCACAGTGGGAAAAGGTCATAGTCAACTTACAAAATAACTCACTGTGCACACAGCATGTTTTATAATACCTAAGGGTGGGCTAGATAGAGAAGAACTTGGGTGCCTTGCCTCCAACCTGCTTCCTCCTTAGGCTCTGTGGTGAGGTTGATTAGGGACAAGGCCTGAGCGTCTGGGAGGAAGTAGCCACTGATTCCAAGTGAAGGGAGAAAAGTGGTCTCCTAGACATGCCGTTTTCTTTCCTCCCTTTCTTTCTTCTTGGCTTCCTTTCCTGCCTATCGCTCTCCGTCCTTTGATTGAGGTAGACTAAAGGTATGTGATTTTTTACTACACACAACATAAAAGGTAACACCATCATCCATTTTCCCTCCTTCCCACCTTCCTTTCCCCCATCTTTCCCTGTATCTCTTTTCCAATTATCTATCACACAGCTGACAAGGGGAAAAGGCAGTTTTCTTGCCTGGAGGAGCTCAGAGTCCTGTGGAGGAGGCTGACCCAGATGATTAACAAGATCAATACTCCAATAAAGAAAGTTGCAAAGTCTTAAGGAACCCAGAGGATGCAACATTCAGCTTTTTCTTTTGGTGTGTTGGGTTGTGTATGTGTGTGTGTGTAAGAGAGAGGAGGGAATGCAAAGATGCTGTGTAGTATTTCAGGTATGAACATACTGCAACTTCTCTGTTTTCTTCTTGGTGGGTTGTTTCTGGTTTTCATCTTTTATGAATAGTGCCCCTCATGTCCTTTAGTAAACATATTAATTAGTAATCAGTTGCTGTGAACAAATCATCCCTAAACAAGTGGTTTAACATAATAATTATTTATTTGCTCATATTTGTGCAACGAGTATCTGGGTATTTCTTCCTCTGTTGTCCCATGGGTTCACTCATGTAGTCGCAGCCATCTGGGGGATGGGTCTACCTGGACGGTCTCATATTCTACAGGTTAGCTGGGCTATCAGCTGAAACTCCAAGTGCCCTTCTTGGTAGGTTAGCCCAGACTTCCTTACTGAGATGTTGGGTTCCAAGAGAGCAAACTTGGAAGCACCAAGGTCTATTGAGGCTTTGCCTCAAAAGTCACATGAAGTTACTGTTGCCACATTTTATTAGGCAAAGAAAATTACAAGGTTGCCTCTTCATGTACAAAGACCAGGATAGGAGGATTCTGTGGCCATGTTTTGCAAATTACCACAGCTCTAAGCCCAGGCATGGTAGTACTAGGTCAGAGGTAAGCTGCCGTTGAGTTTAGGCGTACCAATTTATACTCTTAACAGGTTCCTGTTGCTTCTTATCTCAGTCCTTCTTAGTGTTGTCAGTCTGTCTAATTTCAACCCTTCTGGTGAGGGTATAGTGGTATTTCACTGTGCTTTAATTTCATTTTCCTTGAGTGCTAATGAAGCCAAGTATCTATTTATGTGCTTACTGGTCATTTGGTGTATTCTCTTTGGGAGGAAGTGATCTGTGGGAGTTCTTTATATAGTCCGGGCATGAGTCACTGTGGCTTTACCCAACTCTTCCTCTATGATCTGAGTGATTTTCCTCTTGATTACAAAGGAAATAACATTTGAGCTGAAGTTTGGGGGATGATGAATAATTAAGGAAGAGCAGGGAGGCCTTAGAGATAGAAACATCAACAGTGCCAAGAGGAAAGAAATAAAAAGTGGTGCATTGGGGAAATGATGAGATTTCAAAGTAGACAGAATGTGAAATTAAGAGTAGTAGAGGCTGATGCTGGAGAGATGAGTTGGGGCCAGGAGATGAAGGGTCCCTCCATGGACTGGAAAGAAGTGTGACTTCACTGGACACTCCTTGGAAATTCTGCTTTGAGTCTCCAGAGGTTGGAGACTGGTCAACTCACAGATGCATAGGACTTTAACACAACAGCCATTTGCAGTGCCACAGAGGAGATAATAGTGATTAAAATGAAGGGGAAAGAAGAGAGAGAGAGGCCATCTCTCTCTCTCTCTCCTTCTCCCTCTCTCTCACGTACACACACACACACACACACACACACACATACCAGTAAAAGATTGAAGGAGAAAGAAGTAAGGAATAGAGGGACAGAAACAGAGTTCAATTGTTAATATATGTAACACAGTGCCAGGCTGAGAGCGGTGGCTCACGCCTGTAATCCCAGCACTCTGGGAGGCTGAGACAAGAGAATCACTTGAGCCCAAGAGTTTGAGGGTGCTGTGAGTTGTGACTCCACAGCACTCTACTGAGAGTGACAAAGTGAGACACTCTCTCTCTCTCTCAAAAAAAAAATTTAATACAGTGTCCTTAGATTGTAGTAGTTTTGCAGAAAATCTAGTGGAAACACATAACCACAATTACAACAAGATCAGACACCTGTGTTATCAGAAAGATGCCTTTGAATAAGCAGAAAATGATTGGAAGCAGAAAGATGCACACTGGACTGTGAATCAGCTACTTAGTCTGAGGCAGAGGATTGCTTGAGCCCAGGAGTCTGAGGTTGCTGTGCACTAGGCTGATGCCATGGCACTCTAGCATGGACAGCAGGGTAAGACTGTCTCACAAAAGGGGACTAGCTTCAAGAACGAGTGAGGAGTGAGGAGAGGCGCCCTCTTCTTTGTTATATACTTATGGGTGGTTTGGGCTTTTTTTAATATAAAGTGTTTATTTGTACATTAAGATTTTTTAAAAAGATATACATCAATCTTGCAAATTCAACCAAGAAAAACTTTTGCCTCCCAATTTAATCAAAGAATTTAAATCAATAAATAACTGTTCAGCATAGCAGAACAAGAGCAAGAATGACATGAAATAGATGAGGAGGGAACTCAGCAAGTAGCCCACACAGGCCATCTCATAGCAGAAGCCTGGAGTCACAAAAAGTCCACGTGGCAAGGCTGTGCTGGCAGACACGGGCCAGTGTGCTGCCTGTGGGCTGGCAGGGCACCAGTGCTGGGCTGACCTTCTCTCCTGATTTCTGCAAGACCTCTCAAGTGACACGGAGTTTGGAGGTTCTGAGTCCAGGAATTGAGGAACTGACACAGGGGAGAACAAACAGAAAATGAGGGTTTGACAAAGCTCTGCTGAGAAAGCTTTGATTTGAGCTTTATTTCCTAATATTTGTGAACAAAAGCACCATCTTCTCCTCCTTTCTCTGCCTCCTGTCAGTTCAACAAGGAGGAAAGCTACAGCATGGCATTATTCGATCTCTTCTGAGCAAGGAGAATAGGAATTCTGACATCTGTGGGGAAAGTGAGGACTGCAGCCTGGGACACAATAGCCCGGTTGGTTTGGTTTTACATTTCTTTTCCTGTTTCCCCCCAGTGCAATAGTGATGCATATTTATTTTGAGAATACAGCAAAAAGAAAATGAAAACATTCCCAATTGCATTAACCACAATAAATATAAATATTTTGGCATATTTCATTCATTCTTTCTTTTTTTTTTTTTTTTTTGCAGTTTTGGCTGGGGCCAGGCTTGAACCCGCCAGTCCCACTATATGGGGCTGGCGCCCTACTCCTTGAGCCACAGGTGTCTAGTTTTTTGATGAGCACCAATAACAGCATCACATTTATCAGGTAACCTGCTCATCATGTTGGAATGACTGCTAAATGTTGAGGGTACAGGAGGAAATAAGGCAAATAAAATCCCTGCACCTTTTTTGAGAGTCTTACTCTGCTGCCCATGCTAGCGTGCCGTGGCATCAGCCTAGTTCACATTAACCTCAAACTCCTGGGCTCAAGTGATCCTCTGCTTCAGACTTCTGAGTAGCTGGGACTACAGGTACCCCCTGCAGTGCTGGCTAATTTTTCCATTTTTAGTAGATATTGGGTCTTACTCTTGCTGAGTCTTCCAGTTTTGTATAGGAACTTAGAAATGTAGAAACATTTGTGATAAATATTGTGCTGTCAACACTTTAGTATCTTGCATTTAAAAATATTTACTATATTCTTGGTGTTATGTTAACTGCTTTTCATGTGGGTAAGTGATTGACACAGAATATCTTATGCAATCTTCACAATGACTCTATGAAGTAGGTTAATACTATCACGCCCAACACACATTTTAGAGGAAGAAATTAAGCCGGAGATGTTAGTCAACTTGGCCAAGATGCTATAACTTGGAATCAGGCTGGGATATGACTGTCCTCAGTCCCTGTAACAACCATGCTGCCCAGATCACTTATAGAGTATATGACATTTTCCCGTCTTCTCCCCTTGCTAGGTCTGACTGCCATTGTGGCTCAGAGAGTCTAAACTGGAGCCAGTATGATGGATGATGACACAGAGCTGAGGACCGACGGCAACTCGCTTTTAAAGGCTGTGTGGCTTGGGAGGCTCCGGCTGACCAGACTGCTCCTGGAAGGGGGAGCTTATATTAACGAAAGCAATGACAAAGGCGAAACAGCTCTCATGGTGGCATGCATCACCAAACATGTGGACCAGCAAAGCATCAGCAAGACCAAGATGGTGAAGTACCTGCTGGACAACAGGGCAGACCCCAACATCCAGGATAAGTCTGGCAAGACTGCGCTCATCCATGCTTGCATCAGAAGAGCAGGGGGAGAGGTGGTCTCCTTATTGCTAGAGAACGGCGCAGACCCCAGCCTTGAGGACCGCACTGGGGCTTCAGCTCTGGTTTATGCAATAAATGCAGATGACAAGGATGCTTTGAAACATCTCCTTGATGCCTGTAAAGCCAAAGGGAAGGAGGTGATTATTATAACAACAGACAAATCATCTGCGGGAACCAAAACCACCAAACAGTATCTTAATGTCCCCCCGTCACCCAAAGTGGAAGACAGGCAGTCACCTCCACGGTGTGCGTCCCCCTCTGATGTTGAGCTGAAGGCTCCAGGCCTGGGCTTTCCATCCAGTGAGAAGGAAGATGACATCTTCAGCCTCCAAACAGGGCATCCGAGTGGTTGCAATGCCTCCAAGGCTCTTAATGAGCCCGGGTCACCCACCAGGAAAGTCAGTGGTCTCAAAAGGGCCCGTCTGCCCCAACTGAAGAGGCTCCAGTCTGAGCCCTGGGGCCTGATCGCTCCCTCAGTGCTGGCAGCCTCAGCACGTCAGGACGAGACCCATAGCCCCAGCACAGACAAAGAGGTTCTCAAGAGCATCAGTGATGTGTCCTTCACTAAGAGGAGGCCCCTCTCCAGAACCAATAGTATTGATAGCAAAGACCCTACAGTCTTCCCCATGGTCATGGAGCAGGTTATGAAGATTCCAGCCTCTTTAGCACCAGCATCCTGGAAGGCAGCCTATGAGAAAGGCCAGGCCCCTAATCCCCGTCTGACCAGAAGAGGAACTCTCCCTGCTGACCAAGAGAAGGGTGGCATGGGCCCATTGGGACCCTCTGCTCTCAAAGAGCCAGCATCCCTCAAACAGCTGGAAAATGACCTCTACGATTTAGGTTTACAGCCGGGGGCTGACCCGCCAAACTCCATTTCCCTAGAATCTGGCAAAGGACCCTTAGACAGAAAGAAGCTCAATAGCTCCCACTTGGCTCTTTTCCTTGGCTCTCGGGAATCCCTGGACACTGTACCCAGCACATCCCCTAGCTCAGCACGCCGAAGGCCACCACATCTTCTAGAAAGACGAGGCTCTGGAACTCTACTTCTAGACCGTCTCTCTCATGCTCGGCCTGGTTTCCTTCCTCCTTTAAATGTGAATCTGAACCCACCTATCCTGGATATCAGATGTAGCAGCAAACCTTCCTCCCCCCTTGCTAGTGGCTTAAAATCAATGGTTCCTGTGGCTCCAAGTTCACCAAAGAGAGTTGATTTGAGAAGTAAAAAGAAGCTCCTCAGAAGGCATTCTATGCAAATTGAACAGATGAAGCAGCTGTCAGACTTTGAAGAAATTGTGACCTAGGAGCTTTTAGAAAGGCATTTTTTTATTTTTTATTTTTTGTTTTTTAAATATATGAAGGGACCGTGATTTCTAGACCAACACAGCTGTGTGGATTCTCTGCTTCCCAATCATGTGTTAATGTTGGGTACGTGGCCACTTCAGAAGCCCTGGAAGCAGGATGTCACTTCACTTCTGAAGTAATCCCTGGGTTTATATAGGTCTATCAGAAATAGTTCAGGATAACTGGGCTTTGGATATAGCTTGGAGATAAATTTTTAAAAATTCACTAAAGGAAGAAAACCTTTCACATCTGAAGGTAACACAGCAAATGCAATGATCTAGGATGTGGCCACCAGTAATTTTCTATCAAACAGAAAACAAGAAATTCAATCACAAGAAGGTATTTGGAGTATGTCATTTTTAATAGATCTACAAAGTGCCTACATAGAAAATGAGGCTTTAACATTTTTTAGAACATGAAAAATCTCAAAAAAGTAGCAAGTAAATATGAGTATTTGGGTTCTGTTTGATGGGGTAGAAACAGAAATCCTCCACCAAAGTAGTTTTGGCCTGTGGGTCCTGCTTCTGTGTCAGCGTAAGGCCACACATGGTGTGGTTGAGATGGTCTAGCTCTCCAGTAATATACTTTGTATATACTGAGCACCTAGATATCACATTTACATGGTCCTCAAATTCTGATGTGTCATGGTAGCTGGTACCTTAGAGATGTATCTTGCACCAGAAGTGAAGTGTTCCTCAGACTCCCACCCTTACATAGGCTCTGTGTTGAAATATTGTGAAAAACAGTCAAGGTTAATTAATTTAGAGTTTGTCTTGACACAAATACAGAATAGACCCATAAGAAGCATTTCTTGATTATTCTTAAAACTCTATGTAATCTACCAAAACCAGGATGACAAATGATGGTAGACTGTGCATAGACTAAGGGGCATAGAAGATGGTTTTCAGGTTAAGCAGTGGGAATCATTTCACTTTGCAGCCTGAAAATTTTAGGGAGTGCAAACTGTCATTTCCCCTTCAGTTATCTAGGTAATCTGAGAAAAATCTAATTTCTTCTCTGCCTGAATTATCTAAATGATGGGAGATATGTAAAGATAACCTACACTATCCTTTTAAGTTACTCTGAACAAACCCAAAAAGGGAAGCAGAGGCTCTGTATTATGTAGCCACATTTTAGATGAATACATTTGCGGATATTTTCCCATTTATTTTTCCTCTCATGTTAATGAGACAAATTCGTTCTGTGATTAAGTCCAGCAGTTTCTGGACTTAATCACAGTCCAGCACATGCAAGGAAATGTGAAGACTTTGTGTCTGACAGGTTCGTTTGGTTCCTCGTTTCCTGGGGGCCGTATCATCTCAGATGTTCTCCACTGGGCTAGAACTATTTTGTACAAGGTAGAAATACTTCAAGAACAAGAAAGTCACATGGAGGTGTAGATGCTGGTTGGCCAGCCAGACTCTCCCAGTAATTTATCAATTCAGGTTGTGCTTTGGTAAGGTCAATGCTAGCTCCAGCCTTTAGGATTCTTGGCAAACACACTCAAACTTGAGTGCTGATGGTCTCATACTTTGCAGGAAGGGAATAAGATGGGAAGAAAAGCACATAAACTAGAGAAAATCTATAGCTCATTAACTTGGTTTGGTGCAGATTACCCTACACTTTTCAGAACCATTTAATCATTAACAGTTCTTACTAAGCAGCTGTAATCACAGGCAAAGAAACAACTCTGCAATGCGTTAAAGACAGAATCCTACACACAGCCATCATTCTCAGTAGTTCACTAAATGCACACACGTGTGCACGCACATGCACACGCACTCTACACATTTTAAGTACTTTTCCAGCTGTTGTTCATGTCAGTTAAAACTAACTTCTGCTAGTAGTATCTAGCTGTGGAGATAGCAAGGCACTGCATAGGAGCATTTTTTTTCTAAACCTTTAGCTAAGATTTGGAAGCCTAATTTATCCTAAGTAGTGAATGTGGTATATTTATAGTAATTAGCTAGGCTAAACAGCAAACAGGATGAGCCTTTCATTCAAGATAGCTGGTCCACTGCATAAATGTGTAACATCAGGCACTCTCATGCAATGTGTTGCCTGCACAAGTCAGCCATGACCTCCACAGTGGCCTTTCCCTAGACAGTCATTAGGATAGTCTCTTATCACTGTCATCACTCCCTGACAATGCATCAGCTGGATTAGACTGTTCTAAACTAGTACAATAACCAAAATACTTTATCTTGAGTTATGCATAAATAAGCAGTTTTGTCTATGTCAGTGAACCTCACAAGAACATGTTTTCAAAAGTATATTTTAGATTCAAACATGCTCTCTAGATCAGAGGTTAGTTCATCCTTTTGGAATTCTAGAGTCACTACAATATGTAGTTAGCTGCAAACTATAGTTTCATAATTCATCTACTTAAGATTCTCTGGACTATTGATCAAAATATATTACAGAATGTGAGCTTAAAATTTAAAGTCTGGAACTTTCATTTAATTTCTAGACATTCCAAAAAAATTTTTTTAAACAAAATAGCCCATCATCAATTCTCTTAGAATTCATCAAATGGTCCCTTGCAAACGCAGGTTGTGTCTGACCTCCTCTTTTGCGTGTGTTGGTGTTTCTGATGTGCTGTGTGCTGCTTTGCCTGGTTCTCTGCAGTGTTACGTCCTAGTCTCATACTGACAGTGTGCTCAAAGATGTATTACAATCAACATCCATGTACTGAAATTATCTAGATATTTATAATATGCCAATAAAAAACACATTGCATCCTTCAACAGTATTTCCTAGTTTTCTCAGTGAAATCTCAATTATAAAAATTACTTTTTACTTATGATGAATTTGGCATGACTGCCTTAATTATAAAACGTCCAATATTTTATGACTGTATAATTTAAAAAATTAAATCTGAATTACACAAGTCTAGGGTCTCTCTCTCAGTTTATAAAAACGATGCACAATGAATAAGAAGATGCATTGCCACTGCCAGGGGTGAGTTTCTGTACTTTCCCCCTGCTGTTCAGATTTCCCCAGGGCCATGGGCTATCTGCTAGTAGTAGGAACTTCCTGCTGGTGGCTGGATATCCTTCCTTGGGCCCTATTTCCAATGTCTATGAGTGTTAATATAAACCAATTTCCATTAGTTCTCATTCAGGGGCAAGGCAGCAAGTGACAATGAACTAGCTGGAGGGTCTCACTGGTTTCTTAAATTCCTTTGCTCTGTGCTACAAATTGTACCCAGACCCTCCCATCCTCAGGCAGTTCCACACCTCACCCTTAGGTTCTCCCCTAGACTACTAAAATGAAGTAAGTTAAAAAAACAAAGGAGTAGCTTCAGCATGTCTTTCCTTTAACTTCTATCTTTAGGAAAAAGATGAAAATATTGGTTCTAAATTTTTTGAGGAAGGATTATAAGGAGGAAAAGAACATGGTGGGGAAGGTGAAAGACATGATGGGGGTCAGGCCAAAGTGGCCAACCTTAGAAGGAGAGAGCAAATTCCCAAGATTGAAAAAAGACTTAGACATTTGATGCCCCTTGAGTGTAACTCACTCCCTTCTGGAATAAAACCTTAAAGAGGCTCATGGTACATCTTGGTAGGCTGGGCTGGGTCAAGCATGGAAGGAAGGCATCTGAGTCTTCTGCTTTGACGAAATGTGCAAGTTAGGTATTGAACACATCAACATGGTTATTAATGAACATGAAGATACAACCACTTCCTGAGTCTGCATACTGGGTGTTGAGGGGTGGCCTAATGCAACCACATACAAACCCTTTCCTATCTTCCTCATCCTCCTGTCCTCCTAAGACAAGACACAAGGGATCTGGCTAGCCCACCCCCTGAGAAGTTCCTGCCAAAAGACCCTAGCTTTCCAAACAAGCTGTGGAATGTGTCCACCCCATAGAGCCCCATATAAAAGGGGTCTCTAACAGCCCCCAGGTACCGACTCCATCTTTGTATTTCCCAGGTGGGTCATCTCCCCTTTCAATAAAGCTGACCTAAACTTTTCCACTCCCATCACAGATTCATCTCTGGGTACCATCATGTAAACCTTTCACTGTGAACTGCTGAAGACCTCCACAGAACAGAGAGGGGAATTCCATAGTAACTGAGATGGACATTTTTGACATCATTTTAAAAAGGGGACCAAAGATCCATTTTAATTTTATTTAGACAAGTAAAAAAATGTAGCATTTCTTAACATCTAAAGGTCACGTAGAGAAATTTATGGTACTCTGTGTCCTTGAGTCCAAGTTGCAAAACTGTATGCATACTCGAAGGAAGGGTAGGCTCTGCATCACACTTCAGTTTGCCTGGATGGACTTTAAAAGTAGGGAATGGATCTCAGGAAATGAAAGCACATTAGTGCTTTACAGTTGTGACAATATCTGATTAGTGAAGCACAGTGAAAGAGTCTGACTAATATCACCTGGACTTGGTGCTTGACAGTGAGCTTGTGGTTCATTCTGAGGGACTGATCGTGATTTTAACCGCAGGGTTAAACTCCAGTGGTGCTCATTGGAGAAGGGGGTACTTATGCATGAGGATTAGGGGGAAATGGAAGAGAAGAGGAAAAAGGATGAAACGACAGAAGAGGTTAAGGTCCTGATAACATGAACCTATCTAAATAAACAGCCTAATGAAAGAAGGCCACCTGGGTTTCCCTTCTGGGGTCCTCTGTCTCCTCTGGCAGAGGTCCACACGGCACAATGGGCCCAGAATCACGGGTATTACTATTTAGGGCAGAAACTATGTCTCATATGGTGAAAGATAAGGGTTTAAATTAATTTTTTGGTGTAGCGCTGGGCCTGAACACGAAGAGGGTGGAGGAGTGGGGCTATGCTCTGATTTTCCTTCCCTAATTTTCCCCAAACCCTTGGGGCCCCTGCCCACCCGCAGTCACTGTCCCGGTCGGACTTCCGAACTGGCGGCAGGGCCCACTTTCCCCTATCCCTCCCACCCTGCAGATGCCGGTAGCCGTGGGTCCCTAC